AAAGGGAACTTCTTCAAAAATAGGTGAAAAAAACTCACTGTTGTAAGTCTTTAGGTTAGATTTACAGCTCAGTGTATTCTAAACACAGTCGGATATGAATGATTTATGTTTCCTTCCAACAAACGTGGTTTCTAAGCATGCCTGTGGGTGTTCTGCCTAGAGAAGAAGAGCTAAGAGGCTCACAGCTTGGTCTTGCTGCTTTGTTTTCTTGATGGGGGATTTATTTCACTTCTGAAATATTAGCCATAATTCCCTATATCCTGTGAGAAAATCACCTTGCTCCATTAGTTTCCTTTTGGACCCAATATCAAGAGATTCAAAACTATAAGCTTGACTAGAAAAAATTCATTTATACCCAGAATTCCTGTGAATTCACAATAATTAGGACATGGAATCAGGATACAGAGCAGAAGATATAGAGTTGGAAAATGGTAGAATCTAGTAGTTAAACAGTTAAAGGCTGAGGACTTTGAAATTTAAATTCTGCTTCTATCTCTCAGGAACTCTGACATTTCACAAGTTATTTCAGCTCTTGGTGCCTCACTTGAAAAATCGGTTTACTGGGAATGATAAGGATACCTCCCTCACAGGGTTCTCATGAGAATTAAATGAGACAATATATGTAAAATACTTAGACTAGTGTATTAGTTAGTGTTCTCCAGAGAAACCGAACCAATAAGATGTGTGTGTATGTGTGTGGGGGGGGGGATTAAGAGAGATTTTAAGGAATTGGCTCATAAGGTTGTGAGAGAGAGAGATTTTAAGCAATCAGCTCATGAGATTGTGGAGGCTTGTTAAATCCAAAACCGGCAGGCCAGGCCAGCAGGTTGAACACCCAGGGAACAGCTGCAGTTCAAATCTGAAAGCTCTCTGCTGGCAGAGTTCCTTCTTGCTTTGGGAGAGGTCAGTCTTTGTTCTGTTGAGACCTTTAACTAATTCGATGAGGCCCACCCACATTATGGAGGGTAATCTGCTCTACTCAAAGTTCACTGATTTAAATGTTAATCTCATCTAAAAAACATCTTCACAGAAATATCCAGAATGATGTTTGACCGAATATCTGGGCATTGTGCGCAGCCAAACTGATACATAAAATTAGTCATCATAGATCTACCCCGTGACAACCTGGCACGTATATGCATCTCCTTAAGCCATACTTAATCTCCGAATAAAGACAATAACAAGGTCATACTTCCACCTAATATCATAGAAATATCTTGCAGATAACCGAAAAACACATTAATCCTCTGCCCAGAAGAGGATGCAAAGTCCTTGGTTGATATTTACTCTTCTCTTTGATATCTCATAACTTAAATATTATGATGTAAAGTGAATAATACTTAAATACAATGATAAAAGGTCAGTACATCTTATGTTACAGTGATAAAGGGATAAAAAAGGGAAGAAAACAAAGATATCTACTATACACACATACACAAATACAACAAAATAAGGAAGAAATGCTGATGACAACTACAGTCCTCATTTCTGAAGGTGAGCACACAGTTGTAGTTGGCATTTTCATAACTACCTTCTTCCCCTACCCATTCCATATTCCCTTTGCCCTCAGCAAGCACCTCGGCCTGTCATGGTTCTTTACTTGGTGGAGTGACCCAAATATTCATTCTTGAAGAATGTGGCCCGTCAGTCGTCCTGCCTGAGTAGTGTTGTAGTTTTCCATTCACTTTAATCACAGGGCCTGTTAATACTAAGAGATACTGGAAAGGCTCCCCTGTACTTGAGACATACTTTTCCTTACCTCCCTTGTGGAGTAGCAATCCAACTTCCTCTTGGTAGTCAAGATCAACCACCCCAGTCAACACAGTAACTCCCTTATTTGCCTGTTGATTCAGAGGGTTAAGGAGCCCAAAATGGCTGGGTAGCAGTCTTTAACTTCCAGTTCAATGGAATCATTGTGTCTCCTGGTGGAAGCATCCCTCCATTTGGAACTAAGACCTCTGGGCAGCAGAACAGAAGTTGTGGGGACAGAAAGCAAAAATTTTACTATTGGGTTACTAGGGATAATAGTGAGTGGTATCACTCCCATTACTTGATTCCTGGCCTTGTGAATACTGGCCATGGGAGAAACAGCACCAAATATTGGACACTGATCCAGAGCAAATACAGCCTTCAGGAGAACCTTGCCTCAGCCCTGCAAGATACTGCCACCTAGCTGGCATTGTAACTGAGTCTTCAAAACATCATTCCATTGTTCTTTCAAGCCAGCTGCTTCAAGATGGTGGGGAACATGGTAAGACCAGTGAATTCCATGGGAATGGTACCATTGCTGCACTTATTTGTTGTGACATGAGTTTCTTGACCAGAAGCAATGCTGTGTGGAATGCCATGACGGTGGATAAGGCATTCTGCAAGTCCACAGATGGTAGTTTTGGCAGAAGCATTATGTGCAATAAAGGCAAGTCTGTATCCAGAGTGTCTCTTCCAGTAAGAACAAAATGCTGCCCCTTCCATGATGGAAAGAGTCTAGTGTAATCAACCTGCCACCAGGGAATGGTGCCATATTGGGGACTCAGTGTTGGTCTCTTCTGCTGATTGGGCATTCGGCAGTGGCTATAGCCAGGTCAGCCTCGGTGAATGGAAGACCAGGTTGCTGTACCCACGCCTAACCTCCATCACTGCCACCATGGCCACTTTGTTCATGAGCCCATTGGGTGATGACAAGGATGACTGAGGAAAGAAACTGGTATCCACAAAATGGGTCATTCTATCCACTTCATTGAAATCCTCCTTTGCTGAGGTTACTCTCTGGTGAGCATTCACACGGGACACAAATATCTTCATTTTTACCCATTCAGAGAGGTCCATACCTCTTTCCCAGACTTCCTTGTCACCAATTTTCCAATCATGTTCCTTCCAAGTCCCTGACCATCCAGCCAAATCATTGGCCACAGCCCATGAATCCATATATAATTGTACACCTGGCCATTTCTCCTTCCAAGAAAAATAAGTAACCAGGTACACTGCTTGAAATTCTGCCCAGCAGGAGGATTACATGTGCTGTCAGGGTGTGCTTGGCCTGATCAACATACCACTTTCATTTCATGATGGATTGCTGCTGTGCACACCCAACTTAATGCCTTGGTGGGTCAGATTACAACCAGTTCATGATCGGCAGCTCAGATCGCGTGTTAACTTGGTGGCCCATGGTTAAGTGTTCAGTCGCTACTAAGGCCCAGTAACAGGCCAAAAGGTGTTTCGCCAAAGGAGAGTAGTTAATTGCAGAGGATGGCAGGGCTTTGATTCAAAACCCTGAGGCCCTATGCTGTGATTCACCTATAGGGTCCTGCCAAAGGCCCCAGACAGCATCCCTATCTGCTACTGATACCTCAAGCACCATTGGGTCTGCTGGGGTATATGGCCCAAATGGCAAAGCAGCCTGCACAGTAGTCTGGACCTGTTGCAGAGTCACAGAGCCTTCTCTTGTTCTGGGCCCTACTCAAAACTAGCAACTTTTCAGGTCACTCAGTAAAGGGGTGGAAGTAACACATCCAAATGAGGAATATGTTGCCTCCAAAATCCAGAGGCTTCCTAGGCTTTGCGCCTCATTTTTGGTTATGGGAGGGGCCAGATAAGGATAAGAACAACTTATCCTTCTTCACCTTAGAAGGGGTATCTGACATGCCCCACACCACTGGGTCCCTAGGAATTTCACTGAGGTAGAAGGCCCCTGAGTTTTTGTTGGATTTATTTTCTACCCTCTGACACACAAATAAATGTCTTACCAGTAAGTCTGGAGTAGTTGCCACTTCTTGCTACTAGGTCCAATCAGCATATTGCCATCAATGAAATGGACCAGCGTGACATCTTGTGGAAGGGAAAGGTAATCGAGATCGCTATGAACTAAATTACAACATAGGGTTGGAGAGTTGATATAGCCCTGAGGTAGAACACTGAAGATGTAATGCTGGCCTTGCCAGCTGAAAGCAAACTGCTTCTGGTTGTCTTTATTAACAGGGATGGAGAGGAAAAAAAAATTGCCAGATCAATGGTTGCATACCAGGTACCAGGGAATGTGCTAATTCCCTCAAGGGATGAAACCACATTTGGTACAGCGGCTACAATTGGATTCACTACCTGGTTTAGCTTATGATAATCCATTGTCATTCTCCAGTATCCATCTGTCTTCTGCATAGGCCAAATAAGCAAGTTTAATGTGGATGTGGTGGGAATCACCACCCTTGCATCTTTCAAGCCCTTAATAGTGGCACTAATCTCTGCAATGCAGTGTTTCTTTTGGTTTATTATTTTTCTAGGTAGAGGCAATTCTGGTAGCTTCCATTTGTCCTTTCCCACCATAATAGCCCTCACTCAACAGGGCAGAGAGCCAGTGAGGGGATTCTTACAGTTCCTGAGTATGTCTATCTCAATTATCCATTCCAGAACTTGGGGGAAAAACCACAGGATGGGTTCAGGGTCCACTGTGAGATGGACTTGAGCTAAAACTTCATTGATCACCTGATTTCCATAAGCGCCTACTCTGACTGGTGGACAACAATGATGTTTTGGGTCTCCTGAAATTAGTTTCAATTCAGAGCCATCGTCCAGTAATCCCTGATAGGTCTGATTATTTCCTTTTCCTCAACATACAGTTATCCTGGTAAAGGCTGTAGGTTCTTTTGGGAAAGCTTAGGGGAAAAATTAACAGTATACATTTTTGGCAATGGAGAGCGTCTCTCATTAAAGGGGTTCTAAGTTTGCACACTGAGTCAAGTCTGGGAATTGAGCGGCCATGACTCTCTGTTTTTATTATTCAAGTTAAGCTTTTGTTCTCTTGACTTAAAACTCTTCCACTTATACAGATCAAGTTAAGAATTTAGTAGACTTCCCATCTATTTCACTTCCACCAAAGAATATCAACCATACTCCCAGTAACCACATAACAGAAATTAAAAAACAAACCAACTAAAAAACCTTTCATGGTCATTTTGCATTCTTCATCACAATAAATTATTTCATATTTTTAAAGTCATGTTTTAATTCTTCTTAGATTTAAAAGAATTTCCATTGGAAATTTAAATTTTCAAGTAACTCTGATGCTTCAGGAAGCTTAGCCATTATTATCTTTTTAGAGATATGTGAGGTTCAGAGTAGGTATCACCTCTGCTCAATCTCACACACATAATATTGCAGTCTCTCACAATTTCTAAATTCAGATCACAACCACACACTGTCTTCCATCCAGATCTTAACTTGCATAAGTTGCATTCTAACACAAAAACACCTTTACCAAATCTCTTGCATGACCTCCCACTCAATCATACTCAAAACATCAAAGTCACAACGTTATAATCACCAGCCCTTTTACTGCCATATGCAGAGACTTGGGTACAGTCACAAACCACTTTCACATACTTTATATATTTCACTCAACACCCCTCCCAGTGATAGGCTCAAGTGCAAACCATCTAAGGTACAGTCACAAACCACATGTTCTCACAGATACTATATTTCCTCACACTTAAGAGATGGAGCTTCTGGCCTCAGCAAGATTAAAAAGCTTTACCATAGATGTGTCCCTTATCGCAGATAATCGTACTAGTTTCCACCCCTCTGGATTAATTCCAGCCTGTCACACACACTTAGACACACAATGTCACCTCACACACACACACCCCACCCACGAACGGCTCAGGACCAGCTCGCCTGCCCCAGGGATCTGTGATTCATCCACTGGGTCCCTCCTAGTTCCAACAGACCAGCTTCCTCCCTTCGCTGGTGAAATTAACCTGCGGACACTCGCCACACCTAAACCCTTCCGGTAGTCATAGATGGACCCAGCACAGACAGCCTTCCACAGAACGTTGTGAGGTCACTGCCAGCATAGCCAGCCGCGCCACTCGCAAGCATGCATAATCAATCACACGGTCTCAAAGCACCACTGACAGGTAAGTCACATCACATTTTGCCACCTCACAATCACTGCACGTGGCCGAGCTCACTGCTTGAACCTACACGAATATGTAGCACATCCACTTTCACATACAGATTTCCTCACGCATGACACCCTCACAGTCGGTGTCACATAATCATCTGCCTGTCGATGAGACGCACCCCCGCGTACGTAACGGACTCACAGAATACATCTCGCATCGCAACCGCGGAGAGAACCATCCAGAGGCTGGATCACTCCGCACCAGACAACAGTTCTCTTAAGCCCGCGAACGTGCACATTGGGAGGGTCGGGACAGCCACCGTGTCAGGTTTGAAATCCGTCCCCAGAGAAGTCTGAGGTTCCGAATTCAGACCCCAAACCCAGGTGTGAGCCACGCAAACTGGGTGGTTGTGTCGTCACTCCAAGCCCGAGTGAAACAGCGCAGGTGCGGCCGGAAGTCGGGCGGAAGACCTACCTCTTTAGCCTCCCGGGCTCCTTCCTCTAGGACTAAGTTTCCCAGAGGACACGGCTTTCCAAAGCTACTTCCGGTCAGAACGTCGGTTGAATGGTCGGCCGCAGAGGCAGTTGAGGGCTTCCCCTTACGGGTAGAGTAGGCAGGGCTCGGCGTGCGGCTTCGCCGGGAAGTCCAATCAGAACTTGGACCAGAGCTCCTCCTGAGGATGCTGAAGGTGAGGAATCCTGTAGCCCCAGGAGCGGGCAAGAGGAGTGTCTGGAGTGTTAGGCCTCTTAGTGCGGGAGCAGACCTAGGGAGAGTAGATTAGTCTGTGCGTGCGTGACGGAAATTAGTCTCATAACTAAGGGTATTTGGCTGTTTGTTGTGACAGCAACTGGATTCGTGCTTTTGTGACCGTTGTAATTTTGTGCATTGGCCATATGTGTAAATGGAGTTTGTATGTGTTTATGATCATGATTGCGGGTGGCTATTTGTGTAAGCCCCATTTACTTATATAAAAGAAAAGCACATTTACACATTTAAACCCAGGCTCACCGTAATCAGGCAGTTAGGAAGACATTCCAGTAGTCACCTATAGATTCATACACACGTCATAAAGCCAAAGCCACATAATCCCACCATCCCCCCCCGTATTTATCATCATCACACAACCTCAAAGTGACTTATATAGTAAAAAAAAAAAAAAAAAAAGAAAGGAAACAAGAACAAACAACTAACCGTATGCCCACTTAGTCGGTGTCCTCAACAGTTATCTGAAGAGCTCACACACATCACCAAGAATTAGAGAAACATAGTCTTCATGGTCACAGACAACATCTATTCCACATCACACTCAAAGTCACACAAAATTTGAGCTTCCAGAAAAGCCTAGTATCTCATAATTTTTCTCTACCTCACTACTTCTGCCATTTCCCTTAGAAACACCTCGAATTGGAGGAAAGAATGGCACTGTTGCACATCCAAAAACAGTGTCTAAGATGATTAGGTGCTGCATCTTACCTGAAATTTTCACATTAACCTTCAAAATTCCTTTGTTATATTACTTCATTTAAAGTAAAAGTTATCTATAATTCTTCACCCACTCTGAACATTTTATTGCAAATGCTTTCACCCTCTATGTACATACATATATGCTTATGTTCATGAGTATTTTTTCCCCAAAGATTAGATCACAATATATATTGTTTTGTAATTCCTTATTAAAAGATATTTAGGTCTTTTTTGCCTGTATTTAGGGATAAATTTCAGAAGATTTTCCAGGATGTGGTTTTTTAAATTCTCACCGGTACTTCAGACTAAAGACTCAAGTATTTATTTTGCTCCGGACATCTTTGTTCTATTTCTTCTTTTCAGTGTTGCTTTAGTGTCTATTTTTGAAGTTCCTGTTACACAAGAATGTTAGATATAACCAAAGATCTGTTACATCTTTTGAGTCATTTTCTCTTTCCCTGACCTTTTCATAAGGTCCATTTCCTTTTCTTTTTCCTCTTAATTCAGTGAGAATCTGGTCAGGGTAGGTCTGAGCAGGCCAGTTGGGTCGATTTTATCATAGTGTTGGGACACTGGTTTTCCTCTCTAGATCCCTCCTGCTAAAGAGCCTGGGCCCAGTCTTTCTTGAATCCATAGCTGGATTCCCTCCTTGCTTTGAGTAAGGTTGGGATTTGTTCATCTTTTCTCTGATCTTTTATGTATGTGTGTATGGGGTCTGGGAGTAGGAGATGTGAAGTGGGGGAAATGTCATTCTAAGTTAGCACATTGGGAGCTCAGAGGCAAGATCATCTCATGTTTGTTTTTGTTTATTTTTAAACCCCTCTCATTCAGCAACACTTTCTTTGGACTGTGAATTTCTTCTAAAGTGGAACTAAGAAGACAACTAATAAATACATTGAATTCTAAAAAAAAAGCCATGGCCCATGTAAGTTGTTGTTTTCTTGTTCCTCATTGAAGTAGTCCTCTTTTTTTCCTATAGGTCATGTGAATATTTTCATTCTTCATCCTGATATTGTTACCTAACTGAATATCACACAGTAGCTTGCCAGTGAGTGAGTAAGTGATTGTGCCAAAAATATAGGATCTTCCTTTTTTGCTCATCTCTCTAACCAGTTTATATACTTATTCAGTAAATCATAACTTATTTCCCATATGCTGAGTCTTCTGCCAGAATAAGGAAAGAACAGAAATAGTATCCTTTTGAGGGAAATATTGATGTTCCTCTTGTCAGAACTTTGGTTTGATGAACTGATTTAACAAATATTTATTGAATACTTACTATGTGATAGGCATTCTTTTAAGTAACTAGGAATAAATCAGTGGGGGGTAAAAATCAGACACATACAAATCATTCCTTGTGGAACCTGACTTGTAATGAAAGAGACAGAAAGTAAATAATCAGCTTATATAGTACAAGACTTAAGACACACATATATATGTGCATATGTATGTATGTATATACATTATATATATATATATATATATATATATGGTCAACTCTCCATATCTGTGGGTCCCACATCTATGGATTCAACCAACTGTAGATTGAAAATCTTCAGGAAAAAAAATTCCAGAAAGTTCCATAAAGCAAAACTTGAATTTGCTCCATGCAAGCAACTATTTACATAGCATTTACATTATATTAGGTATTATAAGTAATCAAGAGATGAGTTAAAGCATGTGAGAGGATGTGTGTAGGTTATATGCAAATACTATGCCATTTTACATGGGACTTGAGCATCTGCAGCTTTTGGTATCTGCGGGGGTCCTGGAACTAATCCCCTGTGGATACCAAGGAATGACTGTGTATATGTAGTGAACAAAATAATTGTATGGTAAAACTAAGACGAAAGAGCAAATATATGTCTTATCAATCAATAACTGTATATGAGTTCTCTTTGTTTTGTTTTAATTTTAATTTTGGGGTGCATTGGGTCTTTGTTGCTGCACTCAGGCTTTCTCTAGTTGCAGCAAGTGGCGCTACTCTTCATTGCAGTGCACGGGCTTCTCACTGCGGTGGCTTCTCTTGTTGTGGAACATGGGCTCTAGGCACGTGGGCTTCAGTAGTTGTGGCACGTGAGCTCAGCAGTTGTGGCTCACGGGCTCTAGAGTGCAGGCTCAGTAGTTGTGGCTCATGGGCTTAGTTGCTCCATGGCATGTGGGATCTTCCCAGACCAGGGCTCGAACCCATGTCCCCTTCATTGGCAGGCGGATTCTTAACCACTGCACCACCAGGGAAGTCCCTGGATATGAGTTTTAACATACCTATTAGAGAAAAAGTCTTTCAGATTGAGTCACAAAGAAAAATTCAACTCTCTGCATCAGATGCTTAAGTGATTCGGTGATTCAGAAAGTTTAATAAAAGGATGGACAAATTATACCAGGCAAATGAAAACTAAAGGAAAACATACTAAACTTTAGGCCACATCACACCATTAAACATGGCAAAGAGGGACTTCCCTGGTGGTCCAGTGGTTAAGAATCCGCCTTCCAATGCAGGGGATGCGCGTTCCATCCCTGGTTGGGGAACTAAGATCCCACATGCTGTAGGGCAACTAAGCCCATGCCACAACTAGAGAGCCCGTGTGCTGCAACTACAGAGCCCATGCTCTCTGGAGCCTGCACACCACAACTACAGAGCCCATGCACTCTGGAGCCCATGCACTGCAAGGAAAGATCCCACGTACTGCAACTAAGACCTGACACAGTTGAAAATAAATATATTTTTTTAAAAAAACATGGCAAAGAAGGACACTACATAATTCTAAAGTGTAAATTTCAAAGTGAAGCTAAAATAGTTATGAATTACCTACATATAAAATATTACAGCAGCAACTTTCCAAAAACAAATAGAAAAGCAGATAGAAGAAGAAATAGATACTTGCCAGCAGTAGGGGATATTAGTTAACCGTCTTAGTCAAAGTCAAGACAAGTGGACAAAATTTAGTTAAGGATATTGAAGTACTAAATCACATACTCCATCAAATCTATCTTATTGATATACATGAAATGCTAATAGTAGTGAATATGCATTTTTTAAGTATCCATGGACCATTCAGGAGAAAATGACAAAATATTAGGCTGTAGTAAAGCCCAAAAAGTACAAATGGTAGACAATATTCTCGGAACACAGTGAAATACAACTAGAATTTAATTACAGAATCAGAAAAATTGTTATTCTTACCAGCAGTTTATAAAATCTGTCTTAGTAACTGCTGAATCAAAGAAGAAATATAATCTAAAAAGTGAAAAATTTCTCATGTCAGTGATAGCACTACATATTGGAACCCATGGAATTTAGTTAAAGCAGGACTCTAAGGGAAAAGTCATAGATTTAAATGCTTCTAACAAAAAATAATGAAAATTTGTAAGTTAAAAATAAGTAGAAAGAAATCTGGAAGGGATTTACAAAGATAAAAATTACATGTGTTACAAAACAGGAAAAAATTATAACTAATAAGATAAACCAATAAGTTAAATCACTAACCTTTGAATCATGAATGAAAAGGGAGAAAGCACAAATATACAAAATGAAAAGGGGAAAATCCACAGAAACAAAGGAAATTCAATAGACTCTTGAAAAAAATACTGTATTTGATTCTTTGCAAATACATTTTATTTATTCACATATACACCATTTTCAATTGCTCTCTCTTCTTGAGATCTGAATTTCTGTTTGATATCATTTCTTTTTGGCTTGAAGACATTTCCTTAGCATTTCCTGTAGTTTTTATCTTCTAGTGACAAATCCTCTCAGCTTTCTTTATGTGAAAATGTCTTTATTCCTCCTTTATTTATAAAATAAGTCAGGACTTGCATCCTCCTCCTCTATTTTCTGGAAGAGTTTTTTTTTAATAGAATTAGTATTATTTATTCCTTAATTGTCTGATAGAGTTCACCAGCAAAAAGCATCTGTGGTAGGCAGAATAATGAGCCCCCCTCAAAAAAAAACTGTCTACGTGCTAATCCTAGAACCTTTGAATAGGTTACCTTACGTGGCAAAAGAGACTTTGCAAATATGATTAAATTAATGCTTTAAAAAAATAAATTTATTTATTTATCTATTTATTTTTGGCTGTGTTGGGTCTTCATTGCTGCATGCAGGCTTTCTCTAGTTGCAGCAAGCGAGCAGTGGCTGCTCTTCATTGTGGTGCACGGGCTGCTCACTGCGGTGGCTTCTCTTGTTGCAGAGCACGGGCTCTAGGTACGCAGGCTTCAGTAGTTGTGGCATGTGGGCTCAGTAGTTGTGGCTTGCAGGCTCTAGAGCACAGGTTCAGTAGTTGTGGCACACGGGCTTAGCTTTTCTGCGGCATGTGGGATCTTCCTGGACCAGGGATTGAACCTGTGTCCCGCATTGAATCCGGCAGGTGGATTCTTAACCACTGTGTCACCAGGGAAGTCCCCCAAATTAATGCTTTTGAGATGGGGAGATTATCTTGGGTTATCTGAAGATAACCCAAAGAGGATGTGAGTATGGAATATACATACTTCGGTTAAAAAAATGCAACATTACTGGCTTTGAAGATGGAGGAAGTGGGCCATGAGCTAAGGAACATAAGTAACCTCTAGAAGCTAGAAAAGGTGAGGAAATGGACTCTTTCCTAGAGCTACCAGAAAGGTGCACAGCCCTGCCAACACCTTGATTTAGTCTAGTAAAACCCTTGTTGGACTTCTAACCAACAGATCATAAATTTGTTGTTTTAAACTACTGCATTTGTGGTGATATGTGCAGCATCAGTAGAAAACTAATACACCATCTGAGTTTAGAGTTTTCTTCATGGGGAGACTTTAATTTCTTTAATAGATAAAGGGCTTTGGTTTTTTTTTTTTTCTTGAATTAGTTTAGTAATTTGTGCCTTTCAGGGAATTAGTTTATTTCAACTTAGATGTCAAATTTATTGGCAGAAAGTTGTTCATAATATTCCCTTATTATCAGTTTAATGCCTATCAGATCTACAGTAATGCACACTTTTAAATTCCTGATATTGATAATTTATGTGTTCTTTTCTTGATCAGTATACTAGCAGACTGTCAATTTTATTGGTCTTTTCAAAGAACCAGCTTTTAGTTTTACTGGTTTTTCTCTCTAGTTTGCCCTTGCTGTTTCACTGATTACTGATCTTATTTATTCTTTCCTTTGTTCTGTATATTTTAGATTTAATTTTCTCTTATTTTTCTAGCTTAAAATTCCCTTTCTTCTTTCACCCGTGGGTTATTTACAAGAGTGCTCTTTAACTTCCAAATATTTGGGAACTTTTCCAGATCTTTCTGATAGTTCATTTTTAATTTAATTCTGTGATGGTCGAGGAACATACTCTGTAATTTCTATCCTTTTAAATTTATTGAGATTTGTCTTATGGCCCAAAATGTGGACAATTTGGTGAATGTTCAATGTGCAATTAAAAAAAAAGGGTATTATACTGTTGGGTAGAGTGTTTATCAGTTAGGTCAAACGTTTGTAGTGGTGATCAACTCTTCTATATCTTTACTAATTTTTTTTTGTCACTTGGTCTATCAACTACTGAGAGAGGACAGTTGAAAGTTCCAGATACAATGGTGGATCTGTTACAGTTCTGTCAATTTTTGCTTTATGGTATTTTGAAGCTGTGTTATTAGGTGCATACATATTTAGGATTGCTATATCCTCTTGACAAATTGACCCCTTGATCATGAAATGTTCCTTTTGGTAATATTCTTTGTCTTGAATTCTGTTCTCTTTATTAACATAACTGATTCAACTTTCTTTTACCGTTTTCTTCATGGCATATCTTTCACCATTTTCTTCATGGCATATCTTTTTTCCATCCTTTTATTTTTTTAATTTTAATTTTAATTTTTTGCGGTACACGGGCCTCTCACTGCTGTGGCCTCTTCCATTGCAGAGCACAGGCTCTGGACGCACAGCCCCAGCGCCCATGGCTCATGGGCCCAGCCGTTCCACAGCATGTGGGATCCTCCCGGACCGGGGCATGAACCCGTGTCCCCTGCATCGGCAGGTGGACTCTCAACCACTGTGCCACCAGGGAAGCCCCATCCTTTTATTTTAACCTATTTTAAGTGTATCTCTTATAACAGCATATACTTTGGTTCTACTTTTTTACCCAGTCTGACAGTCGCTGCCTTCAAGTATCTACACAGGGTTTAGCAAGCTATGGCATGCTGGCTAAATCCAGCCCACAATCTGTTTTTCTCTGGCCCTCAACCTAAGAATGGTTTTGCATTTCAGAAGGGTTATAAATAAGAAAAAAGAATGTGTTATAGGGACTATATATGATCCACAGAGCCTAAAATATTTACTACCTGACCCTATTCAGAAAAATTTTGCTGACTTCTAGATAGACCATGTAAATTAAATGTAATGATTATGTTTTAATCTATCATCTTATTATCTATCCTTTCTTCCTTTTTTTTTTCCTATTTTCCTGCCTTCTCTTGGACTAATCCTGTATATTTTAGTATTCCATTTATCTCCATTATAGGATTATTAGCTGTACCATTTTTGTTTTGTTTTGTTTATTGTTTTGGGGGTTGTTCTAAGATTTCTAATGTGATTTTAAAAACAAAAAAATCTGACTAGATCTTCCAATAATTTTATACAACTTCATACATAACTCAAAAATCTTAAAACTGGATATTTCCATTTCCCCTTCCCATCTTTTTTACTACTGCTATCATATATTTTATTTCTAAATACTTTTAAACTACACGTGCTTTTTTTTCTTTTTTCTTTCTTGCTTTTTTTTGTGGGGGTGTGGTGTGCCACTCAGCTTATAGGATCTCAGTTCCCTGACCAGGGATTGAACCTGGGCCATGGCAGTGAAAGCCCAGAATCCTAACCACTAGACAACCAGGGAACTCCCAGTTTTTTTTTTCTTTAAATGGTCAATTCTCTTTTAAAGAAATTATGAGATGAAAACAATATCTTTCTTATTTACCTCCGAATTTATCATTTCTGGCACTCTTCATTTCTCTGTGGATAGAAGTTTTTACTTAGTATAAATTTTTTCCACCTTGAAAAACTTCCTTCAACACATTTTTTGTAGCAAGGTTTGTTACTCTCAAAAAATCAAAACGGGCTTCCCTGGTGGTGCAGTGGTTGAGAGTCCGCCTGCCGATGCAAGGGACACGGGTTTGTGCCCCGGTCCGGGAAGATCCCACATGCCGCGGAGCAGCTAGGCCCATGAGCCATGGCTGCTGAGCCTGCGTGTCCGGAGCCTGTGCTCCGCAACGGGAGAGGCCACAACAGTGAGAGGCCCGCATACCGTAAAAACAACAACAACAACAAAAAACCAACAGCAGCAAAAATAAAACTCCAAGCTTTATTTCACCTTCATTTTGAGGGATGTTAATTGGAAATAGAATTATAGCCTGACAGCTTTCTTTCAGCATTTTTTCTTCCAGTTTTATTGAGATATAATTTACATACAGCACTGTTTAAGTTTAAGGTGTACAACATAATGATTTGACATACATACATCATGAAATGATTATCACAATAGTTAGTAAAATCCTTCATCTCATGTAGATACAAAAATAAAGAAATAGAAAAAAATTCTTTTTCTTGTGGGAACTCTTAGGATTCACTCTCTTAACAGCTTTCATAAATAACGTTTAGCAGTGTTAATTATATTTATCATGTTGTACATTACATTCCTAGTACTTATTTATCTTATAACTGGAAGTTTGTATCTTTTAACCACCTTTATCCAATCCCCCTCCCCACCCCCTGCCTCTGTTAACTGCAAATCTGATCTCTTTCTCTATGAATTTGTTTGTTTGTTTTTGAAGTATAACTGACCTAACAACACTGTTAGCTTCTGTTACACAACATAGTGACTTCATATTTTTATACATTTCAAAATGATCACCATGATAAGTCTAGTTATGGTATGTCACCATAGAAGAATATTACAGAGTTATCTACTATATTCCCCACACTGTACATAGCAGTCTTTTTTTCTTCCTCCATCTGTCTCTCTCTCTCTCTTTCTCTCATTATTTTAGGTTACTCATCTCTCAAGTTCAAACGCATTTTAACAACTCTGCATGTTTTGCACCCTCCCCAACTTCTCCTGTTTCTATCATATTTTACATCTTTTTGTTTTGCATATATATCCCTTAACTACTTAATGCAGATATAGATTATTTTCCTACTTTTGTCTTTTAACTTTCCTACTAGCTTCATGGCTAATTTGCTACTTTACTGTATATTTGCCTTTACAGATGAGATTTTTCCTTCTGTAATTTTCATGTTTCTAGCTGTGGCCTTTTCTTTTTCACTTGGAGAAACATTTTTTGTAAAGCTGGTTTGGTGGTGCCGAAGTCTTTTAGCTTTTGTTTGTTTGTAAAGATTTTGATCTCTCCATCAAACTGAATGAAAGCCTTGCCAGGTAGAGTACTCTTGGTTAGGATTTTTCCTTTCATCACTTTAAATATATCATGCCACTCCCTTCTGGACTGCAGAGTTTCTGCTGAAAAGTCAGCTAATAGCCTTATGGGAGTTCCCTTGTATGTAACTTATTGCTTATCACTGTTTATCCAATCTTCTCCTGAATTCTTTGAACATCTTTACAATCGTTACCTTGAACTCTCTATAGGGTAGATTGCCTATCTCCACTTCACTTAGTTCTTCTTCTGGGGTTTTATCTTATTCCTTCATTTGGAAGATGTTTCTCTGTCACCTCATTTTGCCCAGTTGGCTGTTTTTATTTCTGTGTTTCTGATAGATTGGTTACCTTTCCCAACCTTGGAGAAGTGGCCTTTTGTAGGAGATGTCCTCTATGTCCCAGCAGCGCTCTCCCCTCTGGGCACTAGAGCTATATAGTCTAGGGGTGCCCCATATTTGGGCTGCGTGGGCCCTTCTGTTGTGGTGGGCTGACTACTGTGGGCAGTCTGGTTGGTGTGGCTGGCTCCTGGTCCAGTTGTCTGCCAGGCCCTCTCTTATGCAGAGGCTGATGGGCACTGGTTGGCAGAGCTGGATCACGAGACTGCTGGCAGTGGGGCCTACTGGTGGGTGGAGCCAGGTTCTGGAGTGGGTGGTTGTGGGGCTGAGGGTCCCATATCTGGTGTCGGCATGCTGGTGGGTGGGATCAGTTCCTGACATGGTTTGCTGCAGGGCTGAAAGCTGCTACTGGCCTGCTAGTGAGTGGGGCATATCAAGGTTATGAAAGGGAGATGTGCTCTGTCCATCTTTGGAAAATATAGTCTGCACTGGGTGTTTACTAAAGAATTTGCATTAAAAGTAAAAATGCTTAGTCATAATGAGGAAGAAAAATCATCAGGTCCTTTTTCTGAAGATGGAGATTTTCATAAGAAATTTTGGAAAAATTTACAACTATTTAACTTAGTTGGGAACCTCTATTTATTTTCTAAATTTCTAGATGAGTGATTAACAGAAGTTTTCCACCCTATGCTAGAGGATGTGTGTGCAGAAATTGAATTGTTTAAGAGTATGTGGGCACTCTGCTTTAGTTTCACTAAATTTATTTTTGACCCATACAAGCTTCCAGCCTTAGCCTATATACTCACTGTACCATCCCTTTCCTGCAGTGCTTTCTTTTAGCAGTGCTTCTTCCTTTTGAAAAATGTTTCTTATAATTTCAAAAACAGTACTGTGATTTGTCATTTTAGGGGTTGGTGATGTTCAAAGATGTGGCTATAGATGTCTCTCAGGAGGAATGGGAATGCCTGAACCCTGCACAGCGGAATTTGTACAAAGATGTGATGTTGGAGAACTATAGCAACTTGGTTTCACTGGGTAAAGTTATCTGCCTCTAATAATTCAGAATCTGTTTCTTGGAATTTCTGCTTTCTCCACTATGAATTTTAGGGCTACCTTTCAAATAACTAGATGGATTTTCTCTTTGTGTAGAAATGAGCACAGCCAAGTGGAGTTGCACCTTCATTTTCTCTATCCTCACATCTTACTCTGGTCCTTTCTTATAATTGACTTTCTTCCTTGAAAATTAAGGAGCAGAATTGAAATTCTGTACCATTAAAGCATAACATAGTCAAAGAAACCAGGCTTTGTCTTTTGTTTCACTCGCACTGTGCTAAATGTGCTGATGCACTAGTGTAGATAAAACTAAGCACATGGGTCCTGGGTGCAAAGCCCTTTAGCCTTCCCAATTAGTGTAGTAAGGGACTGAGTCAAGAAATGTCATTTACATTTACAGCTCAAATGAACACTGTTCTATTTACTGCAACAAATGTAAACAATTTGCATTTGGAAGTTACATTCTAAGAACTTTACATTTAACATGGAAAAGTATCTGAGAATAAGTATTTCAGGAAATTCCTTTTGTTCTCAAAGGAAAATAAGGAGTGAAAGGTTATATAACTTAAATAGCGTTTTACCATCTATTTGTTTGTTTTGTTTCTTATGATCCTGAGTTTACCTGTATATGAGAATTTCACTTTTCTTTCTTCTCTAGACCTTATCGAGTACCATCTTGTCCTATAGGTTTTTTAAAATAAATTCTGAAACACAGTATTTGAATACTTTCATTTCCACCTCATCTCCATTTCTTTTCTTATAACCAGGACTTTCTATTTCTAAGCCAGCTGTGATATCCTCATTGGAGCAAGGGAAGGAGCCCTGGATGGTTATGAGGGAAGTGATAGGAGACCAGTTCCCAGGTGAGTGAGCTATAATCAGGAAGCAGAAAGTTATTGTGAGGAGTAGGCCATCTGGTAAGAATGTTGGTTATATTAAGGTTATAAGGTTAATGTAAGGTTGTATTAGACAGAATAATTAGGGAAAATCTGAATTCAAAACTTATTGCAGTGTTACAGTAATCAAACAATGTGGTACTGGCATAAAGACAGACATATAGATGAGTGGAATAGAATAGAGAGTCTAGAAATAAACCCTCAGATATATGACAAAATGATTTTAGATAAGAGTGCCAAGACCATTCTATGGGGGAAAGGACTGTACTCTTAACAAATGGTGTTGGGGAAACTGGATACCCACATGCAAAGGAATAAAATTCCTTATGCCATATACAAAAATTAACTCAAAGTGGATCAAAGAACTAAATCTAAGACCCAGAACTATAAGACGCCTAGAAGAAAATATAGGGGAAAAACATCATGACATTGGATTTGGCAGTAATTTCTGGGCTATGATACCAAGGCACAGCAAAAATAGACAAATGGGAGTACATTAAACTTAAAAAACTTCTGTTCATCAAAAGATGCAATCAACAGAGTATTAATTTTTTTTTTTTTTCTTTTTTTTTTTTTTTGCGGTACGCAGGCCTCTCACTGCTGTGGCCTCTCCCGTTGCAGAGCACAGGCTCTGGACGCACAGGCTCAGCGGCCATGGCTCACGGGCCCAGCCGCTCTGCGGCGTGTGGGATCTTCCCGGACCGGGGCACGAACCCGTGTCCCCTGCATTGGCAGGCAGACTCTCAACCACTGTGCCACCAGGGAAGCCCAGAGTATTAATTTTTTAAAAAAATTCATATAAGTTGCTTTGCTAGGTGATGAGAATACATTTTTTAAATGTTATAAAGACATTTTTAATCTAGTAGTGGATCGAGAACATATGAATATATTTTCTAATAAAATATTTAGGAAAAATTAATTGATTAGAAATTGTGAAAATTAAAGCAAATGACTACATTGAGGAGATGGAGATGGTAGAGGGATGATTAGAAAGGAAGGAGTAGGACCCTAGGAAAGTATAGGGTCCTGAAGGCTAAGAGCAGGTTCATTCCACAAGTTAGAGCAGGGGTCCCCAACCCCTGGGCTGTGGGGGTTGAGCTCTGTTGATTGCATCTTTTGATGGACCGGTACTGGTCCACGGCCTGTTAGGAACCAGGCTGCACAGCAGGAGGTGAGCAGTGGGAGAGTGAGCAAAGCTTCATCTGCCGCTCCCCATCGCTTGCATTACTGCCTGAACCATCCCCCACTGCCCCCGGGGAAAAATTTTCTTCCACAAAATCAGTCTCTGGTGCCAAGAAGTTTGGGGACCGCTGAATTAGAGGTCTTTGATGATGTCTGTAACTCATAGTACTCCAGAGCTATGAAAAGAGTATATTTCTGTTGTTTTAAGCCACCTAGTTTGTGGTACACTGTTATGTTGACTCTAAGAAACTAATACAGAGGTGAAACATGGAAAAATGATATATAATTTCCTAAATGTTTTGCTTTCATGTAAGATGTTATTCTTTTTACTAATTTTTGATACCTGGCTAGGCCTTTCCTTTTGCATGTATGGTGTGGTGGTTTCTTTTAAAAAGTTTTTTACCTTGAAATAGTTATAGATTCACAGGAGGTTGCAAAGAAATGTACAGGGAAGTTCCATGTACCCTTCCTCCAGCCTCTCCCAGTGTTAACATCTTACACAACTATAGTACAATATCATACTGAAAAATTGACATTGGTATAATCCATAGAAGTTACTCAGATTTCACTACTTATATACACACTTATTTGTATGTGTGTTTCTGTGCGTATGTATAGCTCTGTGTAGTTTTATCACATATAGCCTTGTATCACCACTCCAACAATCGAAATAGATAGTACCATCACCACACGACTCCCTCCTATTATCTCTTTATAGCTACACCCATCCCTTTCTCCCTTATTCCTAACTCTTGGTAACCATTAATCTATTCTACATCTATATAACTATGTTATTTCATGAAGTTACATAAATGGAATCCTGAAGTATGTATCCTTTTGAGATTGGCTTTTTTCTTATATATATATATATGTATAACATGAATGTAAGGAACATATATATATACATATGTAAATATATATATATATATATATATATTCCTTACATTCATGTAAAAGTTTGTACTTGAAAATAAGTCTGGGATAAAGCTCAAGTATGCAATTGCTGGGTCGTAAGTTAAGCTCATTTTTAGTTTTGAAAGGAACTGCCAAACACTAGCAGTGTATGAATGATGCATTTCACTGAATCCTAGTTAGCACTTGGTGTTATCAGTTTTTCATTTTAACCATTCTGATAGGTGGGTAATGATATTTCATTATAGTTTTTATTTGAATTTCCTTAATAGAAAATCATGTTTATTTGCCATCTGTGTATCCTCTTCAGTGAATGTCTGTTCATGTCTATTGCCCATTTTATGATTTGATTGTTTGGGTTTTTTTGCTGTTGAGTTTTCAAAGTTCTTTATGTATTCTTTTGGGTTGGCCAAACAGTTCGGTTTTTTCTGTAAGATGGTTCTAGTGCACTTAGTTTTCTTTAACTTCATTCGAAACAATTTTGTTAGATTGTATTGTGATACCTGTCATATCAGAGTACATTTTTTTAAAAAATCAAAATTGGTGACATTTTGTGTAGCTATTTTGATACTGAAGATGGAAGAAAAGAAGCAACATTTTCGGCATATTATGCCTTATTATTTCCAGAAAAGTTAAAACACAACTGAAATGCAAAAAAAGCTTTGTGCAGTATATAGAGAAGGTGCTGTGACTGATCGAACGTAACAAAAGTGGTTTGCGAAGTTTCGTGCTGGAGATTTCACACTGGATGATGCTCCGCAGTCGGGTAGATCAGTTAAAATTGATAGCAATCAAATCGAGACATTAATTGAGAACAATCAGTGTTACACCACATGGGAGATAGCCGACATGCTCAAAATATCCAAATCAAGCGTTGAAAATCATTTGCACCAGCTTGGTATGTTAATCACTTTGATGTTTGGGTTCCACATAGCGAAAAAAACCTTCTTGACCGTATTTCCGCATGCGATTCTCTACTTAAACGTAATGAAAACGTTCTGTTTTTAAAACAAATTGTGTCGGGCAATGGAAAATATATACTGTACAATAATGTGGAATGGAAGAGATCATGGGGCAAGCAGAGTGAACCACCAAAGGCCGGTCTTTATCCAAAAAGGTGATGTTGTGTATATGGTGGGATTGGAAGGGAGTCCTCTATTATGAGCTCCTTCTGGAAAACCAAACGATTAATTCCAACAAGTGCTGCTCCCAATTAGACCAACTGAAAGCATCACTCAATGAAAACCGTCTGGAATTAGCCAACAGAAAACGTATAATCTTTCATCAGGATAACGCAAGACTGCATGTTTCTTTTTTTTTTTTTTTTTTTTGCGGTACGCGGGCCTCTCACTGTTGTGGCCTCTCCCATTGTAGAGCACAGGCTCCGGACGCGCAGGCTCAGCGGCCATGGCTCACGGGCCCAGCCGCTCCGCGGCATGTGGGATCTTCCCAGACCGGGGCACAAACCCGTGTCCCCTGCATCGGCAGGTGGACTCTCAACCACTGCGCCATCAGGGAAGCCCTGCACGTTTCTTTGATGACCAGGCAAAAACTGTTACAGCTTGGCTGGGAAGTTCTGATTCATCCACCCTATTCACCAGACATTGCACCTTCGGATTTCCATTGATTTCAGTCTTTACAAAATTCCCTTAATGGAAAAAATTTCAATTCCCTGGAAGACTGTAAAAGGCACCTGGAACAGTTCTTTGCTCAAAAAGACAAAAAGTTTTGGGAAGATGGAATTAGGAAGTTGCCTGAAAATGGCAGAAGGTAGTGGAACAAAACGGTGAATACGTTGTTCAAAAAAGTTCTTGATGAAAATGAAAACTGTGTCTTTTATTTTTACTTAAAAACCGGAGGAACTTTTTGGCCAACCCAATAAATAGGCCTTTGTTGGATATGTGACTTAAAGAAATAATTTCTCCAAGTCTATAATTTGTGTTTTAATCCTTTTAACATTGTCTTTTGCAGAGAAAAGTTTAATTTTGATGAAGTCTAGCCTTTATTCATCTTTTAAATCTTATGAATTGTTAGGGGGTTTTGTTGTTGTTTTTTTGTTTGGTTTTGGTGTTAAGTCTAAGAACACCACCTAGTCCTAGGTCCTAAAGATTTTCTATGTTTTTTTCTAGAACTTTTATAGTTTTACATTTTCCATTTAAATCTGTAATCCATTTTGAGTACCTTTTTGTAGAAGATGTGAGACTTCAGGTCAAGGTTTAACTTTTTGCCTATGGATGTCTAGTTCTCCATCACTATTTTTTTCAACAAGTTATCCCTCCTCCATTGAGTTACTTTTTCACCATTATCAGAAATTAGTTGAGCACATTTGTGTGGCTCCATTTCTGAGATCTATATTCTGTACCATTGATCTTTGTAACCGCTCCTCTGCTAGTACCATACTTTTGATTACAGCAGTTATATAGTAAGCCTTAATATTGGAAAGAGTGATTCTTCCCACTATATTATTTTCCAAAAAAATTTTGGCTATCCTTGGGGGCTTTTTCTTTGCATATAAATTTTAGAATAAGCTTGTCTCTATGTACAAAAAAACTTGCTGAGATTTAAATAGGAATTATGTTAAACCTATAGATGAAATTAGAGAATTAACATCTTTACTCTGTTGAGTCTTCCAATCCATGAACACAGCATTTCTCCAAGATTTTTTCCTTTGATTTCTTTTATTAGCATTTTATAATTTTCATCATATATTATCTGTACATGTTTTGTTAATTTTTTACCTAAGTATTTCTTTTTTTTAATCTTGGAGCATTTGTAAATGGTATTGCATTTTTATTTTGGTTTCTATTTGGTCATTGTCAGTGTACAGAAATTCGGCCAATTTTGTATGTTAATCTTGTATTCTATGACGTTAC